GCGGGATCCGGAGAAAGATTGGACCACAAGGGTCTATTGTACGCAGTCTTATCCTGTATTTCTGCAAGAGGCTGTTTTCACGGTGAACCTATGACCTTCTGGTCACATGGCAACAAGTTTACCAGTTACGCCAAGGTTCAAAAATTCTTTAACTTGTCTAAAGGAATTTGTCTAATTTTGAAGGACTTTTTGAAGATTTAGAATTTAAATAAGTAAACTTCTATAGCGAGAATGAGATTATTTTTCTCGAATGCCCAAATTTATAATACTTAGATAATAGAACGTATCTTATTTATTTAAGCACGCTATATTTTTTAATCACAGCGAATGTATGGTAAATTATTATTTACTGAATAATGTGTTTGTTTTAAGGTAATAGCTAATTATGGGATATTCCAAGTTTTAACATGGGTCAATTGTGGTTAAATGTTAGATTTTTCAAGTGCTCAAGCTACTTAATTACGAGTTATGAACGTCTAAACATGTCATTCTAATTTTTGTGTTACCTAATTACAGTGATATTTTCTAATAAAAACGAAAGTCAATTTGTCATTTTCTTCTATATCTACGAAACGGAAGTGTATACCAAGAATCTAGGATAATACAATTATATGCGTAACTTCATTGCTAATTGCTATAACAAAAGAGGAAGCTCCATCATACGTTAGTTTCCATTTTCTGAAAAACTGTTATATTAACCTGTGTTCGAAAATAATTTTTGCAAAAAATAAAACAAAACAGAAACAGAAATATAATAGAAATAGAATAAATAAAAGTTCCGAACTCAACAAAAAACTGTGTTTCCTTTAGAAATTTAATCCCCTCAATGTTGCCCAGGATTATTGGATGAATCTCTCCCAGGATAGAACGGAACAACTATTCTGTAATACCGACAATGGAAAATACAGAACTTCGTCGAACTCAACAAACGGCAGTAAACCACACTTATGCTTACATTTTGCTTTGAAAAAACAGTGCAGAAATGTAGAAGAGAGTGGGGAGAGTATGCAGATTTTCGGTGCTGAAAAATGAGGCAAAACCTCTGAATTTATAGCCAAACAGTCTGGGTTGAATACGTGCGAAGGTACCTGTTCATATGAGGTACCATTTCGGCGTAAGTCTGGTCGTGAAATTTAAACTCAAAACGATCGTTGGGAATCGCAAAATTTAAATTTAAATTTTGCAAAAAAATATTAGAAAAGAAATTATATAACGAAAAATGGGAAATGGTCCAAAAAGTTATCAATCAATCAATTGAATCCGAAGCCGAAGCCAAGTTAAGCGAGCGACGACGATGACGGGCCGAAGCACCAGTTCTTATTAACTCTTTAAGAGCTAGAAGATGTGCTTTTCTATATAAGCACAAATAATTTCTTTCCATTTTCCGATGAGAGACAAAGTACATTAGTAAAGAAAACAACTTCAACCTTTTCGTTTCCTTCCAAATCTTTTCCCTCTATTTTCCATTCACACCTCTATCTAATTAGATGTGAATCCCTTTGCATTCGCGAAGAAGAAAACCAGATAGCAGCAACAACAGCAACAACTTATTCCAATTTGGTCCGAAATCACCCCGAAACACACCCGAGGCCCCTAGGACCCCGTCTAATCACATAAACCAGATCCATAACATCAAACAAATTTGCTCGAGGCCTCAAACCACATCAAACAATATCAAAATCACAAATCACACCCCAATTCGAGCTTAATGAACTTTAGAACTTTAAACTTCTACATTCGATGCCGAAACCTATCAAATCACATCCGATTGACCTCAAATTTTGCACACAAGTCACATTCGACATTACGGACCTACTCCAACTTCCGAAATCAGAATTTGACTCCGACATCAAAAAGTCCACTCCCCGTCAAACTTCTCAAAAACCTTTAAATTTCTAACTTTCGCCAAATGACCCCGAAATGACCTACGGACCTCCAAATCCACATCAGGATGTGCTCCCAATACCAAAATCACCATATGGAGCTATTTCCAAACTCAGAATCCCAAACGGACATCGATAACATTAAAATACACTTCCACCCCAAATTTATGAAATCCTTCCAAATGCCAACTTTCCATAATAGGCGCCGAAACGCTCTCAGACTATCCAAAACTCGATGCGAACATACGCCCAAGTCCAAAATCATCATACAAACCTGTTGGAACCTTTAAATCCCAATTCCAAGGTCGTTTACTCAAAAATTAAATCTTAGTCAATTCTTCCAACTTAAAGCTTCCGAAATGAGAATTTTCTTTTCAAATCAACTCCGAACTTTCCGAATTTTAATTCCGACCACACGTACAAGTCATAATACCTTAAGTAAAGCTACTCATGACCTCAAATCGTCGAACGATGAGCTAGAGCTCAAAACGACTGATTGGATTGTTACAACTACGTCTTGAATTTTCCTCATTAAATGTACTTTCCTTTGCTTCTTCTCGAGGTTGCTTAGATTTTTCACTAGACGACTCATATTTAATTTTATACGGATAAATATTCTCAAGAAATTCAACATTATCGGATTTGATTACCGTATTAATATGAATATCAGGATTTTTTGATTTATGAACAAGAAAACGATATACCTTACTATTTCTTGCATATCCTATGAAAACGCAATCAACCGTTTTTGGTCCAATCTTCACCCTTTTGGGTTTAGAAAATTGCACTTTAGCCAAAAACCCCTACACTCTAAAACATTTTAAGTTTTGTTTCCTACCTTTCCATTTTTCATATGGAATAGACTGCGTTTTGTTATGGGGAACTCAATTGAGTATTTGATTAGCTGTAAGAACCGCTTTCTCTGACAAGTTCTGGGGTAAACCCGAACTTATCAACAAGGCATTTATCATCTCCTTTAATGTCTATTCTTTCTTTCAGCAATTCCATTAGATTGCTCTCGATAAGGGGCAGTTATTTGGTGAATAATGCCATAATCCAAATATATTTCTTCAAAAGGAGATTCATATTCGACACCTCTATCACTTCTTATCATTATGATCTTTTTGTTTAGTTGCGTTTCAACTTCATTTTTGTATTTCTTGAATGCCTCGATTTCTTCATCTTTACTATTAAGTAAATAAATATAGCAACATCTAGTATTGTCGTCAATAAAAGTTATGAAATACTTTTTCCCACCGCGAGATGGTATTGACTTCATGTCGTAAATATCTGTGTGAATTAAGTCTAAAGGATTTAAATTCCTTTCAACCGACTTATAAGTGTATTTAACATACTTAGATTCCACACATATTTGACATTTCAAATTATCGCATTCAAATTTAGACAATACTTCCAAGTTAAATATTTTTCATATTGTTTTGAAGTTGACGTAACCTAAATGTGCATGCCATAAATTATTTGACTTAAGTAAGAAAAAGCTTGAACTTTATTGATATCAATAGCTATTACATTCAACTTGAAAAGTCCCTCAATTAAGTAAGCTTTTCCTATATACACATTATTCTTACTTATTACAATTTTTTAGAAACAAATGCACACTTAAATCCATTCTTGATAAGAAATTCAGTAGAGACCAAGTTCTTGCGAATTTCAGGAACATGGAGAACATTGTTTAGAGTCACAACATTGCCCGAAGTCATCTTCAAAGATATCTTTCCAACTCCTTCAATGTTTAATATTGCAGAGTTTCCCATAAAGATAGTCTCGTCAGGCCCTGCGGGAACACAAAAGACAAATAACTCTTTGTTAGCACAAACACGACGAGTGGATCCAGAATCAATCCACCACGCTTTGGGATTTCCTACCTAGCTGCATTCAGATAGCATGGCACATAAGTCCTCCATTTCATTATTCTTTTCAACCATGTTTGCTTGACTCTTCTTCCTTCTTCGGTGCACGATAATCCACAGCCTTATGTCCAACCTTTCCACAGTTGGGGCAATTACCTTTGAACTTCTTCTTGCTCGGGTAATTCTTTGGACCAGACAACTTTTTTCTCTTTTTGTTGCTTGTAGATGCTTACTCAACAATATTTGCTCACATTATTGTTGAGTTACCACGAGACTTCTTCTCAGCAGCATTGTTGTCCTCTTCAATCTGTAGATGAATAATAATGTCTTCAAGTGTCATCTCCTTGCACTTATGTTTCAAATAATTCTTAAAGTCCTTCCACAACAGAGACAACTTTTCAATAAATGCCGCAACTTGAAACGCTTCATTTACGACCCATATCTTCAATCATAAATTTATAATTAGTAAAATAATCAATATCTTGAATACAAATATTAACTCGATTTATACCTTCACCAAGGAGGTCATGAACAATCACTTGCAGTTCTTGGACTTGTGTTATGACAGATTTGTTGTCAACCATTTTAAAATCCAAAAAAATTGGCGGCCACAAACTTCATAAGTCCAGCATCTTCAATCTTGTACTTCTATTTAAGAGCATTACATAACTCTCGTGATGTTTGTTACATCTCGCGTTTTCGTACGTTAAAAGTTTTGTCTTCAGTTAATTGACATAGACTCGGGGATGAGATTATCTTAAGGTTAAGGTATTTACGCTATTTATAACAAGCAAGAAATAAGTGTCATGAAGGATAAAAGGTACACGAATTAAAGAAAACGAGTTTCGTTGAAAGTGGCCAATTTGAGATAAAATACGGGTTGAGCGATAATACCCGATAATTATGAATAGTACCATGAAAGGTACCATATGACCATGGTAGTATAATATATAAAGTATATATATAAAGTATATTAAAAATAAATATAATTTTAAATAATTGGAGATAATTTTTAAATTATGCGGGTAATTGATTAGTTATCGAATAATAGAACATTACCCAGTTAACTAATAAGTGGAAAATTTTAATAAATTAATTTACCCCCAAAAACGTGGCACAAGGCCACAAGACTAAGAATGACTCTTAGTCATTCAAAGCCTAGGTGGCTAACTAGGAACATTTGGAATTAATGAATAAAAGACTTACAATCTGATCCATTTTCATTTCATTAGACAAAGAACCAAAATCCTTTCTTTAAGTTTGAATCCTTCGAGAGTAAAACCTCAATTTATTCAACGAACTGAAGCTTGAAAAATTCGTTCAAAGCATTTCAACAAGCTAAAACTTGATTCGTCCAAATAATTCAAGGAACAGAAATGTAATTCCAACAAAAATTTTGCAGTTATAAAAGAGTACGGTGCAATCTTCGCTAAGAATATTATACGGAGTTTTCCTTACCCCAGGTATGTTAAGGCTAATCCTTCTTTCATTTGGCATAATCCAAGTAACGATATATAAATGTAATGTTATTTCATAAATGGTTCTACTCTTAGTAGTTACGAATGTCTATGTTATTCATTCCCATAAAGTGATATTCATCTAAATATGTATCTAGACAGATTCAATTAACATAAGTGATCCTTTATATTCCTCGGTTTATTTGATCTGTATCCTAAAGTTAATTGGATTACAAATAGTGGCAGATAATTAAAATAAGAACTAAAATACACTAAGATGCATATGGCTATAAAAAGGACTATTGCGTTAATGAGTTCTCTGGAAACAAAAGCTCAAAATTATATTCTTCAAGCGAGAGGGAGAACAATGTAAGAAGAAACTTATCACAAATAGAAAAAGAAAGAATTAAGCTTCAGAAAAGCAAATACACATAGACTACATATAAGAAGTAGAACTCCTCTGGATCTCGGATCAGTATATGTCAAAATGCTATATTAATTGATGGTTGAAAATTCTTACTTGCATATCTTGTATCTGACCAATCATTAATTTTTCTTGTGAATTATACGAAAGTTGCACTTTTCGATCAGGAATAATATTGAGATAACCTACTTGAAAATAAAAGGATGTCAGGCCAATTCAATAAATGGATAGCATAATAATATTTAGTTTGAAAATTTTATTTTAGGAGGTATTTGATAAAGATGTTAATATTGATAATATTGTGATATATACATATTCATTTACCACCGTGCTACGGCCGGTCGGGCAGTTACGTATCATTATTTACCTTCAATTGGGCAGTCATGCATATTCATTTACCACCGAGCTACGGTCGGTCGGGAAGCCATGTATTTACCACCGAGCTACGGCCGATCACGGCAGTTACCACAGGTTGGGCAGTTATATATTATTATTTACCACCGGTTGGGCAGTGCATTTACCATCGAGCTACAACCGGTCGGGCAGTTACCACTGATCAGTTGGGCAGTTAACGTCACAAAAATGAGGTAACTAGAACTATTATATTGTAGTTTTATTTATATATACGAGATGGGTTTTATTATATATGTTACGACCCTCAGCAGCAAGTCAGAAGTTATAAGTTGACTCTTATCTCTCCCCGAGATAGTAACTTATTATTATTACGTTTCATTTCTGCCTTACATACTCGGTACATTCTTCGTACTGATGTCCCTTTTCCTGGGGTGCTGTGTTTCATGCCACATAGGTGTAGATAGGCGAGGTGAGAACCATACACTGTAGGCTGCCTCCAGATATCAGCTTTTGTTTAGTGAGCTCTACATCTTCTGTAGTATTGCCGAGTCACGTTCTATATATGTTACTTTATTTTATGAAGATATCGGGGACCCTATTCCGACATATATATTATGATCATGTTTTCTTAGAGGTTTTGCAGACAGTGTCTTGTGTATAGCTTTAAGTATGACATGTCAACGGCCTTGTCGACCCCTATGTATCTATATATAAATCTTTTTGAATTAGATATGTGATGTAAGTTCTAATATTATTAATTATATATATAACTGTGGCCTATCATGGTCGTGACGAGTCTTATAGAAAAAAAAAGATAAGGTACGTGGCGCTTGGTTGAGTAGGGACCGGGTGCCTGTCGTGGCCCTCTGATTTGGGTCGTGACAATGTTTTCATGACGCTATAAACATTGTATGAGCCATCTTCCAAGCAACTTAAAATATCATTTTTGCATAAGAAGTCAGAATGCTTCCAAGCCTCTGTGACCACAAATTGCTCATTTTCAGGAGTTTCTTCTCCCTTAACTGGAATTCACAGACCAATCTTTCATCCCCTTTCACATGGCAAAACTTCCTTATTCCTTCTCCAGTCCTTTTCTTTTCTCTCTCTATCTCTTTTTCCTTCCTCTCTCTATCTCCTTTTCCTTTTCTTATCGTTTGATTTGTACCGATATCGAAGCGAAATTAAAATGACTAAAACGATTTTGAAAAAATATAATTATAATTATAATTATAATTATAATTATACAAAATAGAATAAGTGAAAAATTAATATGATATAATTTTTTTTGTTTGTAAATGACAAACCATACCCGAGCCGTTGGACACCTTTAATCGCAACACGTACCCATTTTCGTAAAGGCGGATCCAGGATTTAAATCTTATGAGTTCAACTTTTAACAAGATCTAATGTTTAGCTGCTACTCAGATGAACTAGTCGCTGAAGAGAAACAACTCTTAGAGAATCTGAAAAAATGGTCATTAATAGAAGAAAGCATCTTTCAAAAGAAAGCTCGAGCTAAATGGATAAGACTATGAGATGCAAACTCCAAGTATTTTCAGCAATTGTAAAGTTGATTCAGGAGCGGCTTCGCACAGCACAGTCCAGGCAGAAGAGTTACGCGGATCAGAAGGCGCGTGATTTATCATTTATGGTGGGCGAGAAGGTTATATTTAAAGTCTCGCTGATGAAGGGAATTATGAGATTCGGGAAGAAGGGTTAGTTGATCCTAAGGTTTATAGGCCTATTTCAGGTGTTGAGACGAGTTGGGGGGGTTGCTTATGAGCTTACTTTACCTCCTAGCCTATTAGGAGTTCATCTGATTTTTCACGTGTCTATGCTCCGGAGGTATCACGCCGACTTGTCACATGTGTTAGACTTCAGCACTATTCAGTTAGATGAGAGCCTGGGTTATGAGGATGATCCAATTGCCATTGTTGCTAAACATGATCGCTCGTTCCCATTGTTGCTAGACAGGATCACCAGTTGAGATCCAAGAGGATTTCCACGGTAAAGGTTCAGTGGAGGGGCCAATCACTCGAGAAGGCGACCTGGGAGTTTGAGTAGGACATGAGGAGCAGATATCCACACTTATTCAACACTCTAGGTATCAATCTAAACTTGTTCGAGGACGAACATTTGTTTAAGAGGTGAAGAATGTAACGACTCGATCGGTCATTTTGCTTCCTAGAACCCTGTTATCCTAAATAAGACTTCCCATATATGCTTTTACTGTTTTATGACTTGCGGGAATGGTTAGTTCGGGATTTGGAAAGGTTCAGGTTAAAATCGGGACACTAGGTTCCTTAATGTTGGCTAAAAAGGCCAAGTTTGACTTCGCTCAACATTTTGAGTAAACGTCCTTGGAATCGGGATTTGACGATTCCAATAGGTTCGTATTATGATTTTGGACTTGAGCGTATGTTCAGATCAAGTTTTGGATGACCATGGAGCATTTTGGCACCTAATAGTGAAAATTGGTTCTTTGAAAGTTTAAGAAGTTCTTTAAATTTGGTTTGGAGCGGGTTTTGGTGATATCGAGATCCAAACAGAATTCTGAGATCGCAAATAGTTCTGTAATGTCATTTAAGACATGCACGCACAATTTGGTATCATTCCGAGTAGTTTAAGTGCGTTTCGGCGCATTGGAAGTAAATTGAAGAACTTGAAGTTCATAAGTTTGATTCAATTGATTTTAGGGTGTGATTCTTAGTTTTAATGTTGTTTCGGGCGTTTCGAAAGTTCAAGTGAGTCTGCTTTATAATTTCAAACTTGTTGGTATGTTTGGGCGGTGCCCCGGGGGACCCTGAGTGTCAATTGGACGAGGCTCGGACCAAGTTGAAAATTTGGAGAAATAGTTGAAGCTCCTGGTTGCTGTCATAATCGCACATGCGCTTGGCCAGCCACAGGTGCAAGCTCGCAGAAGCCAGCCAGGCCTCGCAGAAGCGGCCAAGGAAGGGCAACCCAGGATTCGCAGGTGCACCCCAACCTCCACAGAAGCGGGACCCTGTCTGCAAAAGCGGAGATACTCATTACATATTTCTTATTCGTAGGAGTAATCTTGAATAATAATGGAGCAAAAGGTAACAAATTATTGCAAAAAGGAGAAAAAACGGAAGGATTGGGAGCTCATCTATTCTCTTGTGGCACGAAAACGGATGCGAAAAAGGAGAAAAGTGAAGGCATAAACAACGAAGTGAAGCAAAGGCACAGATCGTTTCACAAAGTGGAAGAATTTCAAAAGCTGAATCAGCGTCCATAAGCGCACGACGCGCAAAGGCAGACGCGGATTCCGTTGATTCTCATATTTTCCTGTGCTATAGCCCATGCCTTCCTCGTGGGCCCGGGCTCTTGGACCCAGATAACCTAAAATTTTTTGGGCCATCAAATACGACCTAAGGAACCTTAGCCACTGTCCCACCATGATAATTCCTCTTTTTTTTTTTTTGCGATTTACGGACATGAAATTGGAATTTCGCCCGATTCCCATAATTTCGTATGTTATAACCCACACCTTTCTCGTGGGCCCGGGCTCCTGGACCCGGTTAACTTAAAAAAATTTCGGGCCTTCAAATACGATCTAGGGAACCATTGTCACCGCCCCGCCATGATTGTTCCTCATTATTTTGCATTTTACAGCCATAAAACTGGAATTCTGCCAAATTTCCATATTTTCATGTGCTACAGCCCATGCCTTCCTTGTGGGCCCGGGCCCTAGACCCGGGTCGCCAAAAGTTTTTTCGGGCCATCAAATATGAACTAAGGAACCATAGTTAGTACCTCTCCATGACCATTCCTCATTTTTTTTTTGCATTTTACAGTCATAAAACTGGAATTCCGCCTGATTCCCACATTTTCCTATGCTATAGCGCACGCCTTCGTCGTGAGTCCGGGCCTCCGAACCCGTTGTAGACATGTAAATTTTGACCCTCCCCAAGATTTTACATATTTTAGTATTTAAATATTTAGTCTAGGTCTAGTATCGTTATTTTAACTAGTTTTGACTCTTTTACTTTATTTTAAGAACAAAAATTGAAAATTACAAAAATAGTATATTTCTCTATTTAATTCACGTATTAGATACTTTTAGAAGGATATATTATTTTTAACTATTTTATTTTAATATAATTCGAAAATACAAAAATAGTTGCACTTTGTTTTCAAGGATATTAGTGTTTTTAGTAGTAATATTATTCTAATTTTTTACTTTATTTTAAGAACAAAAATTGGAAATTATAAAAATAGTTCCATATTTCTCTATTTAATTCACGTATTAGATTTTTCAGAAGGATATATCATTTTTAACCTATTTTATTTTAATATAATTCGAAAATACAAAAATAGTCACACTTTATTTTCAATGATATTAGTGTTTTTAGTAGTAATATTATTTTAATTTAATCCCATTTTTATTTTTAGTATGATATTTTAAAAAATACTAAAAAATAGTCTTGTTTTAACAGTTAGTTTTATTTTTAATAGTCATTTCTACTTAAGTAGGATTAGTTAATATATGTGGGTAGTATTTTTATTCTTGTTTTAGGGAGCAAGAATCAAATTTGGACTAAAATAATCCAATTTTGAGGCCCATTTCGATTGAGCCCTTGGCCCATACCCTTCTTAGCCCACTACACCACCTTTCCCTAAACCTAAGACTCTTTTTCTTAACCAAGACAACCCTAATTCTCTAGGAGGGGCAGCCGCAGCCGCAACACACTCCCTTTCCCCACCAAGCAACAACCTAACACCTACAAGAGAACGCCATCCCCAGCCATTTCTATCACCATACGACAAACCTCCCACCAGAAATCAGACACAAGACCAAAAACGCCACGCACAAGAACACCATCTGCGACACCCCTCCCTTCCCTAACCATCTCCAGCCGTCAATCCCTCTCTATTTCACATCTGCCGCCACCGGCCACTTCAAGCCCGCCGGAAATCGACCACAAATATAGATGCGTTTTGCTTCTTCCCTTCAGATTTCAATTTCAGTATTTTTTTTTTGAAAAATGGAAATTATTTGAGGTTTGAGTGATTGAGGTGCGGAGTTTAGTTCGAATTTGCTGTCGCCCGTCGTTCTGGTCGCGGTTCATTCTTGTCGTTGTTTTCTCGCTCAAATTTTGGAGTCAAGACCTGTGTAGTTGCTGATTTTTATTGCTATCGAGGTTCACTCTTCTCCCCTTTCCTACGGTTTGCACTGTTATTTTGTGTGTTGTGATGGATTTCCTTGATATTGGTCCGTAGTCATAATTTGTAATTGTGGTTAGAGCTCTTAGACTTGCTTAGCTATTTAATAGTATTCCTATGTTAATCTCTGTTAGGCTTAGGCTGCCATGTTTCCTACTATAAACTAAACTTGAGGTTTCATTCCAAATCTTAGATTCACATATTTGACCTCTTCCATTCTAACTGAATAATAATTCTTTGTTCCATAAATCTGTGGAATAGTTTTAATTTGATGAATATATGGAATGGTTTTGAAAACGTGATTCTTTGTTTATTTGGCCAACTCTTGGTCCCAATGGAAGGCACAGTAGCGTTTTCTTCAAGTATTTACATATAATTTTGAAATTTGAAATCATATTTTTGTGGTAAGTATTCTCCTTTCACTCTTGGTATCAATTTTGCCTTTTCATTAATACTTTTAGCATGTTTAAAACACTCTCTTAAATAAAGAGGCATTTTCATGTGTTAGTGCTTAAAAATTACTAGTAGCGCTAGTGTTCAATTACAGTGGCATAGTTTTTCTTCTAACGTAAGTTAAAATGAAAACTCTATAGTTAAATATTCAATTCACTTTAGGTTGTGATCGTACTTTTGCCTTGGGTTAGTAGGTCATTAAGAGAAAAGTTTTCAGTGGGATTTCCTCGCTAAGTTTTGTGGTTTACGTTTTGAGTTGCCTTTTATATGCCTTGCTATTTTCGTCGTCTCCTACTTCTTCTTTTTTTGTTTTGTTTCGTTTGTTGTTTTGTTTTGAATGCTATTCTTCTCATCGTATGCACATCTCTTATTTGAATGACGATGTTGAGCCGTAGAGGGTGAAATCACAAATGAAATGAAGTTGAACATGAGCATGAAATATCTTTATTTATTTTAGCTTAATTTTTACTTTTCTTTCATAATCGCTAGGATCATGTTTAGGCCGACCACGCCTGGGTAGGCAATCTTAAGGTCTTTTTCTATTTGTTTGTTTTTGGTTTCGAGGTGAGAGGTCGCTCCCTTTATTTTATATTCAGGGGAATGCCCCGTAGATCTTGTATATATTTTTATCCGGGGTATGCCCCGAAGTATTTGTATTTGGAGGCCGAAAGTAGAACTCGTAGTATTCTAATTTTATTTTCATTTTTTATTAGGTGGGACGACCTCGAGCCTCGTGTATGTTTATTTTCTTTTTCGTGTTTATTTTTACCTCAATTTGAATATTCTTAAAAGCCAACTTGATCATGTACGCAACCGTACTAGTTACGGAACTCGGGGAATGCCTAACACCTTCTCCCTGAGTCAAATGAACTCCTTTACCCGAATCTCTGGTGCAGACTTAGTTTTTGAGTCTCAAGTGTTTTGAAAGGAAAAAAAATTATTTTTAGAAAAACGGTGGCCTGACACACCGAGATCAAATGTCAGGTGGTGACTCTGAGTTAATCCTTTTGAACACAATTTTTTTATCACTTTCAAAAATTGAAAACCTTTGAACTTTACAAATTTCTTTTATTATTTTAAGAGGGGTTAATGAAGTTTGTAAAAAAGGGGTGTGACACCCGGATTGCCTAAAATTTTTCTGGACCATCAAATACGACATAGGGAACCATAATCATTACTTCACCATGATCGTTCCTCTTTTTTATTTTTTACCATTTATGATCATGAAACTGGATTTTCGCTTGATTCCTATATTTTCGTGTGCTATAACCAATACTTTCCTCGTAGGCTTGGGCGTCCGGACATGGATCGCCCAAAATTTTTTCTGGCCATCAAATACGACAAAAAGAATCATAGTCACCGCTCCACCATGACCGTTCCTTGTTTATTTGCGTGTTACGGTCATAAAACTGAAATTTTGCCCGATTCCCATATTTTCGTGTGCTATAGACCACGCCTTCTTCGTGTGCACGGGACCTCGAACCCGGATCACCTAAAATATTTCTGGGTAATCAAATACGACCTAGGGAACCATAGTTACCGCCCCTCCAGAACTGTTCCTCGTTGTTTTGCATTTTACGGCCATGAAACTTGAATTGTGCACGATTCCCATGTTTCCGTGTGCTATAGCCCACGCCTTCCTCGTGGTCCCAGGCCCCCGGACCCGGATCGCCTAAAAATTTTCTGGGATCAAATACGACCTAAGGAACCATAGTCACTGCCCCGCCATGATCGTTCCTCGTTGTTTTGAATTTTATAGCCATGAAACTGGAATTCTGCTCGATTCCCATATTTTTGTGTGCTATAGCCCATGCCTTCCTCATGGGTCTGGGCCCCTAGATCCTGATCGCCTAAAATTTTTTGGGCCATTAAATATAACATAAGGGACCATAGTCACTACCTCGCCATGACCGTTCCTCATTTGTTTTTGCATTTTCCAGTCATAAAATTAGAATTCCATCTGATTTACATATTTTCCTATGCTATTGCCCATGCCTTCCTCGTGTGCACAGGCCCCCGGACCCGGATCGCCTAAATATTTTCTGGACCATCTAATACGACCTAAGGAACCATAGTCACTTCCCTACCATGATCGTTCCTCTTTTTTATTGGGATTTACGGCCATGAAACTAGAATTCTGCACAATTCGCATATTTTCGTGTGCTATAACCCACGCCTTCCTCGTGGGCCCGGGTCCCCGGATCTGGATCACCTAAAATTTTTTCGGGACATCGAATACGACCTAAGGAACCATTGTCACTACCCCGCCATGATTGTTCCTCATTGTTTTTCATTTTACGACCATAAAATTGGAATTCTGCCCGATTTTCATATTTTCGTGTGCTATAGCCCTTGCCTTCCTCGTGGGCCCCGTCCCCTAGACCCAGATTGCCCTAAAATTTTTTTGGGCTATCAAATACAACATAAAGAACCATAGTCACTACCTTGCCATAACCATTCTTTATTTTTTTTTGCATTTCATGGCCATAAAACTAGAATTCCACCTGATTTCCATATTTTCCTGTGCTATTGCCCACGCCTTCCTTGTGTGCATGGGCCCCTAGACCCGGATGACCTAAATATTTTTTGGGCCATCTAATACAACCTAAGAAGCCATATTCCTCTTTTTATTGGGGTTTACGACCATGAAACTGGAATTCTGCACGATTTGCATATTTTCGTGTGCTATAACCCACGCCTTCCTCGTGGGCCCGGACGCTCGGACCTGGATCACTTAAATTTTTTTTGGGACATCGAATACGACCTAAGGAACTATTGTCACTGCCCCGCCATGACTGTTCCTTGTTGTTTTGCATTTTACGGCTATAAAACTGGAATTTTGCCAAATTCCCATATTTTCGTGTGCTATTGCCCTTGTCTTCCTCGTGGACCCGTGCCCCCAGACCTGGATCGCATAAATATTTTTTGGGCCATTAAATACGGCCTAAGGAACCATAGTCACTACCTCGCCATGACCGTTCCTCATTAGTTTTGCATTTTACGGCCATAAAATTGGAATTCCACCTGATTTCCATATTTTCGTACGCTATAGCCCATGCCTTCCTCGTGGGCTCGGACTCTCGGACCCGGATTGGCTGAAATTTTTCTGGGTCATCCAATACGACCTAAAGAACCATAGTCACTGGCGTTCCTTTTTTTTTTTTTTTTTTTTTTTTTTTTTTTTTTTCTTTCTGGTAAATTAGTTCGTCTAAAGTTTATCTATTGATGAATATATATATTTGTGTTATTGGCGTAGGTGTAGAATCATGGGAAACGAGCNTTTTTTTTTTTTTTTTTTTTTTTTTTTACGATTTACGGCCATAAAACAGGAATTCCACCTGATTTCCATATTTTCCTATGCTATAACCCACGCCTTCCTCGTGTGCACAGACCCCAGACCCGGATCGCCTAAAATTATTCTGGGCCATCTAATATGACCTAAGGAACCGTAGTCACTGCCTCACCATGATCGTTCCTATTTTTTATTGCAATTTACGACCATGAAATTGGAATTCTACATGATTCGCATGTTTTCATGTGCTATAACCCACGTATTCCTCGTGGGCCCGGGCCCCTGGACCCGGATCACCTAAAATTTTTCCAGGACATCAAATACAACCTAAGGAACCAATGTCACTACCCCTCCATGATTGTTCCTCATTGTTTTGCATTTTACGGCCATGAAACTGGAATTTTGATCGATTCCCATATTTTCTTGTGCTATAGAACTTGCCTTCCTCGTGGGCCCGTGACCCCAGACCCGGATCGCCTAAAAGTTTTCTAGGCCATCAGATATAACATAAGGAACCATAGTCACTACCTCGCCATGACCGTTTCTCATTTATTTTGAGTTTTAAAGCCATAAAACTGGAATTCCTCCTGATTTCCATATTTTTCTATGCTATGGCCCACACCTTCCTCGTGGGCCCGAGTACCCAGACCCGGATTTCCTAAAATTTTTCTGGGCCATCCAATACGACCTAAGGAACTATAGTCACTACCCCACCATGATCGTTCCTTTTTTATTGTGATTTACGGCCATGAAACTGGAATTTCGCCCAATTTGCATATTTTCGTGTGCTATAACCCATACCTTTGTCGTGGGCCGGGGACCCCGGGCCCGGATCACCTAAATTTTTTTTGGGATATCAAATACGGCCTAAGGAACTATTGTCACCACCTCGCTATGACTGTTCCTCGTTATTTTGCATTTTACAACCATGAATTTGGAATTCTGCCCGACTCCCATATTTTCATGTGCTATAGCCCATGCCTTCCTCGTGAGCCCAGGCCCCTGGCTCGGATCGCCTAAAATTTTTTTAGGCCATCAAATACGACCTAGGGAACCATAGTCACTACCCCACCATGACCGTTCCTCTTTTTTTTTTCACGATTTACGGCCATGAAAATAGAATTTTTCCCGATTCCCATATTTTCATGTGCTATAACCAGTACCTTTCTCGTGGGCCCGAGTCCCGGACCTGGATCACCTAAAAGTTTTTCGGGCAATCAAATACGACATAAGGAACCAAAGTCACCATCACGCCATGACCGTTCCTCGTTTATTTGTGTTTTACGGGTATAAAACTGAAATTCTATATGATTTTCATATTTTCGTGTGCTATAGCTCACGTCTTCCTCGTGTGTACGGGCCCTCGGACCCGGATCACCTAAAATGTTTTTGGGTAATCAAATACGACCTAGGAAACTATAGTCATCGCCCTGCCATGACTGTTCCTCATTGTTTTGCATTTTACGACCATGAAACTAGAATTCTGCACGATTCCCATGTTTTCGTGTGCTATAGCCCACGCCTTCCTCGTGGGCTTAGGGACATCAAATACGACCTAAGGAACCATAGACACCACCCCGCCATGACTGTTCATCATTGTTTTGCATTTTACAGCCATGAAACTGGAATTCTGCCCGATTCCCACATTTTCGTGTGCTATAGCTCATGCCTTCCTTGTAGGCACTGACACCCGGACCCGGATCGCCTAAATTTTTTTTGCGCCATCCAATACGACCTAAGGAACTATAGTCACTGCCCCACTATGATTGTTCCTCTTTTTTTTTTGCGATTTAAGGCCATGAAACTGGAATTTCGCCCGATTCGCATATTTTCGTGTGCTATAACCTACGCCTTCCTCGTGGCCCCCCCAGACCCGGATAGTTTAAAATTTTTTTGGTCCTTCAAATATGACAGAAGGAAGCATAGTCACCTTCCCTCCATGGCAGTTCCTCGTTGTTTTGCATTTTACGGTCATGAAACTTGAATTCTGCCCGATTCCCATATATTCGTGTGCTATAGCCCATGCCTTCTTCGTGGGTCGAAGCTGATAACTAGGGATTTTGACGCATTTTATACTCCTTCTTGCTCATGCTTTAATTAGAAACTCATACAAAATAGTCCCAAAAGACTTATAAGTTGTGCTTGATTGCAGGTTTGATCAACAAAGTGACAAGATGTCAAAGATCAGCTCAAAAGGAGTGAAACTTGCACAAGTACCAAAGACAAGACAAGCTCAGGCAAAATAGGTCCAGTACAACCGCACAGCACTTTGTGCGGTCTGCACTAGGAGGTTCAGAGAGAAGGCATTCAGGCTAAAAGGCAATGCGGCCGCACTAGATTTAGTGCGGTCTGCACTGGAGTCCATGCAGCCGCACTACCATTCTGTGCAGTCCGCAGAGCCAAGATTCAGAGAAG